CGATTGCAATTGGCTCGAGCATTACCCAAGGAAGAGAGGCGGGCATTGTCTTTCAAAGCGGACTCTCGTTGGCTGTTCCAGAATGTGACCGGGCTATAGAAGCTCCTATTGGGTCAAATGAGGTGTCAATTTAACCGGCAGAATGCAGCCGCCATTTTGAGAGAAAAGAAAGCGAGTTATCATATCTGCCGGCTAATTTGAAATGATGCAACAGCCCCCCGTGGGTCTTTATGGACGTACTAATGTGTTTTGGACTAAATCTTTTACTGGATTGGATCGTGTGGACCCTTAGCAATCTAGCAAGACCGTTTTTGCCGGACTATCATGCATGAGGGAAACGTTATTAATCATAATCTGTGAGTGACGGCGATATTTTATCGGCTATTTTTGGAGTGTTTGTTTGACAGAGACGTTAACTGTACCTGCTGTTGTGACTGTATCTTGAAATGGTTTGCATAAATCGAATTACAAGAACCGTAGCTTTCTAATGAGATATCGCATTAATACCTGTCTTTACAGAGCAGTTGTGTACACGACACAAATGTACACTGAACACTCTGACTCTAACTTTAGATTCCGACTATTTAGTGTAGTATAGACTATGACAAACTAAACAAACACATACCAGATGTACGCAAATTAAGGTTTTAGAAAGTTACCACAAGACAAACACTATTAAAGGTAAAAATGTTCAGAATGTCACATGCAGGCTGATTACGTGGATTAGATAAATTATTTGAGGAGGTGTTATTTAAAGAAGGGAGAGAAGTGGAGAAGTTATGTATAATGGTATAAAGAACATTTATTGACCAGAAAATACTGCTGCTGTCTCTGTTTCTCTGTCTCCCAAGCAATACGAGTTGTTTAAGGAGGAGATCACACTGTGTCCTTGGCATGAGGCCCAGGAATGGAGAGGATGTCTGACTGGCTGCACAGTCAGACCCATACTCACTGACCTCAGCAACACAGAGGATCCTGGTAAACTCTACAGAAATAAGGGTGACGTATACAAAACAAGAGGTACATCAATGTCAATAGTGAAAGGAAAAACTCAACTTATGTTTGATAAGAAAACACACACCATGGTTTCAAATGTGTGATGTAAGACAGGTGAGGGGTGCTAGTGTTCACCCAAAATCGTGCTCCGCCTAATTTCAAAATCTGATTTCCGCTCATTCAAGAAGCAATATCCACTCTATCGAGATATTAATGGTATTACACCCGTTCTTGAGTCTTTATTGAAGGTTGGTATAATAATCTAATGTGATGATTCACCGGTGCACGCACCAAAATTTTTCCGGTAAAGAAAGCTCGAGACTTGAGGGAACCACCTGAGTGATGATTGTCTAAGATTTGCAAGCAGTTAATGTGTCGGTGCACCCAAATGAAACAAATGATGAGCTCGTTAGGAATGACGTGATAGTATGACGGTGGATCCCAAACCACTCAGAAACAGAGGCATTCCTCTATCCATGATTCATGGTAAACATCTTTGTGCGCATGACAAACTGACCTGGACTGACTGCTCGACTGATGCCTTTAATGACAAAGATTTTAATCCTGCTACTCTTTTTCCTACTCCAGCAGATGGAGAGCCACATAACTGTGTTGTTTCTCTTGAACAGGTCTGCACACAGAGACCTGACCTCACAGACACGCCCACCAAATGCTGATTTACAACTGTTAGTGGAAGGTTTGGCATCCCGCACGCTGGACACGGGAGAAGGGTTGGTTGGGTTTGCTGTAGTCTCATCATATGACACTCTGTGCAGCGGTAAGTTGCCAGCACACGTTTCTGCTTAAGCTGCAGAACCTGTGGCTCTTATGGAAGCATGCAAGCTTGCTGCCGACAAAATAGTTAACATTTACACAGACTCTCGCTATGCCTTTGGTGTAGTGCATGACTTTGGCGCCCTGTGGAAACACAGAAGCTTTTGGAAATCATCCGGCAAACCCATTTCTCACCACCGTCTCGTGGCCGACTTGCTAGAAGCCATACTGCTCCCTAAAAATGTCTGTCTTATGAAATGTGACGCTCACACTAACGCTTCTGATCCCATTTCAACAGGAATGCTGCAGCTGATGCTGCGACTGAGCAAGCAGATTTTTCAGGCTATTCTTTAGCTCACGAGACTTATGCTAGGTGTGCCTACAGAAATATCCCTCACGTATGATGTTCAAGTATTGCAGACATTAGCTACCCCTGCAGAGAGGAAGTGTTGGGCCTCATCTGGTGCATTTTAAAAATGATGAATGGATGATGGATTATTATTATTAAAATGTATTATGAGCCCAGACAACTGCCACATGAATTCTTCTATTGTTAAGCTAAATTAGCCCACAGCAGAGATAACTTGGCAAAAGGGGAAATATGTAATATATTGTAAGGGTAGATCCACATTTTGTATAGTTTTTAAAGTTAAAAAGGAAATTTAATAAGATATTAAATCTTATACTTTTACTAAAAATGTCTCTTGCAGGTTATAATCCCTTTCTTTAACAGGTCATACAAATCTTGATGTATCATCAAAGCAAATAATAACATCACTTAAATACAATTAGTATACATATTTTGAACATTTTATCTCTTTTACACAAAATCAAATTCTTGTGACAACATGATGATGTGATGAGCTGGCCCTCTATATTAGATAATACGAATATCTAATACAATATTTAAATTCGTTTTTAACTGACATTGGGGAATGTAAGAGAACTGCAACAATAAATATTATTTATATTTTATTAGGTTATAATTTTAGAAAATACAATACGAATGCGTTATTCACTGAAACAGTTGGCCGGATACAGCAAAGTATATCACTGTAGTGATTTGTCAGAGAATAACTAAGTAACATTCATCTGAACACCTCAGGATTTTAAAACTAAGTGTTAAGTAACAGCGATGGAAGGCAGACCTCCAGCACCATGGCACACATTCCGCAGTCCGGAATGGTGGCCTAAGAGGTTCAATGTGAAAATATATGATCATTTAAATGCATTTATCGTGCCAGATTCACCACGATATGAAAGATTACTGTGTTAATATTAAATTGAATCATGCACTCAGTGCTTTGTTTTGTCCACTTTGGGTGAGCAAATGAATAAATGCAGTGGCAAGACTGAAATGTTACACCACACAGACAGATGTGTTACTTTCCTGGAAAATGTCAACATTTTATATGCATTTAAGCCTTAATTTGTTACAACGCTACGCTGTTGTTTTATCACTTTACATTTGCTTTTATTTAATAGCATGATATATACTGTAAATAAACTGTATTAACTGTCAACCTGTTTTTATAATAAATAACTATAATTACAAGTAATGGTGAAAAGCTTTATGTGTTCTTTGATTGTAAAGTGATTGTACTGCAAAACAAGTTAAACGGTATAACAAGATAAAGGATGCTCTTTCAGCATGTCTTCTTAATGCTGATGAATCGTATCTGACCCTTTCTATAGTGCCACAGGTGTTGGGTTACTCTTTTCACTCCACATTGAGTGCTAAGTTACACATACTCTACCACTGAAACAGACGAGTATAATGTTTCAGTTGGCAGTTAAGTACCAGTGAAAGAGGAAGGAAGTGTCTGTGTGAAGCGATAACTTGTGATAAACAAACTGCACTTCACATGTGAGATAAAACATATTCTGGTGCAGATTCAGTTGACGGAGTAACAAACGGCCTACTACAACTTCCACAGACTTTCTCTTGTTAGGTGTGGAGCCTCTTAACCTCTTATCACTCCTGTACAATTTGCCTAAAACGCCTATCCAAGGCGTACCCAAAGTAAACTGACAGCTCTTATTGAACCATTGGGAGTACATGTATGGTTTTAGTCTCTATTGAAAGGTAACACTCTGAAGTTTCTTCACAGTCAGAATCACTGTAAGTGCTACTGGCATTGAGCTATAGAGTTTACAACACACTGAAACAGAAGGTTTTTATTTCCGCCTGGATTTTTTACTGCGGTCAAGTCAGCAGACACTTACATTTTAGTGCACCTATACGCTGAAACTTACGGTAAACGCAACCAAACGGCACAGATCGGGAGCGAGCGAAGGACTTTGCAAAGTTAGCGGAAGGATTAACGTAAACGTAAAAAGTATTTTCTCAATAAGTCCAGACAATGACTGATATGTATGTGTTGAGGACATCGTTGACTCCGCCCATACTGAATATTAGACATTTTTACTGTACCAATTAGGAGATATTTCAAATTAAAACTCATACATTTGAATCGAGAAAATATCTAATAAATGAATATTTGAAGTGTAATAAAAAGTATTTTCTCAATAAGTCCGGACAATGACTGATATGCATGTGTTGATGACATCGTTGACTCCACCCATTATGAAAATTAGACATTTTAGACAATATCTCTTAATTAGGACAGTAAATTCCGAAACTCAAATGTTCTGTATTGGTATATAATCAAGCACATATAATTTACATAAATCACTTGTGTTGCTGCAATTCTGTGAGGGATCAAAACTTTAGGTTACAGTTCCACCTATTTGGCAAAAGTTATATGACACAGTGAAGAGACCAGATGTGCTTTGTTTTTGGTTCAACGGACTGGTTTGATTGGTGGAAAGTAAATTAAGGGGGGTGAAGTTTGACTATAAAAGTGATCTGTGAAAAGTAATACATTTGGATTTGTTTTGATTTGCTAAACTCGTTGATGTTGGCTTGTTCTTATTAAAACACTTCCCGCTGGTTGCAACTTCAATTCGCCGTCTCTTCTCGTCATTTTGCCACAACATAATTCACGTGTTAAGTGTTAAAAAAACGAAAAAAGAAACTTCAGTGTGTTTATTACCTGTGGGTTCACACTCATGGGGTGTTTGTGACAAATGATTTCTTATTAGATTTTTAAAAATAAAAACACACAAGTAAACAAAAAATATCCATTATGGCCTTTGGTTCCATTAGGATCTATTTGAATCTTCATCACAGTAGAGTCTTAGTTGAGTTTGTTATTAAGAGTCTGTTATTATGAGTTCTGGGTAACCCAGTGGATCCATTGGAGGTAGTTTCTGACCTTGGTGTAGACGCCAGGGTAGTAAGCATAGGCACAGCCGATGCCCCAAGATACAATGCCCACAAATTTACCATTACAAATAAGAGGTCCTCCTGAGTCACCCTGAGAATGGAAGAGGAAACAGTAACAAGTTGTTATTCAGGTTGTATGACAAACGGTGAACATAGTGGAGCATTTAGCAACTAAATAGACACATTTTTTTCCACCTGACGTTGGTGAAGACAAACACAGAGCTACAAGGCAAATGGTAATGTTAATGTTAATATTGACATTTCTTACCAAACTTATAACAATCTATTTCTTGGGTTGAAAATGGCTCAAAACGTCATCTAGTCTTTTAAATCGTGCAAGGCCCATGCTGGGATAGAGTTCACAGGTTAGGACAAATCTACATCATGACATTTAAAAAAAATAAATAATAATGTTAACGCTAATGTAACCAGACCACCTTCTTCGTGTCAATCATTTTTTGTGTAGCACGCTGTGTAGCATCACAATCACAGCACAAGCCTGTTCTCTCCTGTCTGTTTAACTGGAAATTCAGCACACTACCAATAGCAAGGTGCTTTATTATGCTGTAACAAGAAGGTGTAGATACAGCATTAAGTAAAATGCTATGCCCTGGATGGACTTATCAAACCTTGGGGTGAAGTTACACTTTAAATTGGTCAGTCAAACACAACTCCAATTTTATGTGAATGATGTGTTTCCATCCGGTTACACCGCCCCCAAGTGGCCAAAGAAATCAATTAATGCAGATTTAACAGTGCCAAAAAATGATGTTACTCAGATGAATTGTTCTTTGCTGTCACTCAGTTTGAGAGTAATACACATTTCAGTCAGGTGGAAGTCCTAAAACACATTGTTTTGAATAATACTGCAGCAAACTCCGCCTTAATGTGACATCTCATTATAACAATACATGATTACAACTTCATGCCTCACCTGACAGGAGTCTTTCCCACCAGAGCGAGATCCAGCACAGATCATGTTGTCTGTAATCCTGAAGTAGTAGTAGTAATTGCAGTTGTTAAAGATTTCTACATCCACAGACTTCAGTACAGGTGACAACTGGTAGCTGTACAGCCAGGTCACACCCCAGCCACTGACTGTGCACCTGGCAAAGTTGGCCAAGGGCGGTGAGTCCGGGTCTGGCAGAGAAGCCAGCTCGACCGTGGCGTTGATGTCAGCTGGCCGGTCCAACTGACCCACAGAGAACATATCCTTCAGTCAGTCAACGCAGAAAGCTAATGCTGAAGGTAGCGTTGCACATTTTCTATTTGCATGCAAATGCAAGTGAAGAGGGTTATTGCTCTTCTAAATGACCTACTCTGCTGTCTGTGCTATTGACTGATGACTCATAGAAATTGCATACAAACACTGTATAGAACTGAATACAATGAATAAAACAGGAACAGACGGAGGCAGAGAAGGATAAATAAGAACATCACTGTGAAGCAGATCATTGAATAAAGGGTAAACAGCCTCTCAATCAGGTCTCTTGTTCAATAGGTAGTAAGGATCATTATTGTGTTTCAATGGCAAAATTGTTAGAGTGCACTGGGATTTTAGTTTCATTAATAATCCCCAATATGCACAATAAGAATCAATGAGGAAATATTCACTGACTGATAGTGAAGTCCCTAAAAGAGCCTTTTCATTGAGTCACAGGCAGGTCAATACTGAGCCAACGAATAAAATGAATAATAGCTAAAGGGAAGCTCCACTAAGTGCTACTCAGCCTGTCATAGTAGTGTTCTCTACATTTTGCTGATAATTGTAATACTTTACCTGAGTAAGATTTAGAATTTTAGATTTTTCCTTGCAACAAAGTATTTTACCTTGTTGTATTGGTTATTTTACTTCAGTAAAGTATCTGAATACTTTATCCATGACTGGCTATCAGAGACTGCAAATATATAACAGACATCCATAAACATCTTACATTTTATGAATTGTAATCACACATTATGAATTTACCATCACACATCTGTGTGACGGGTCATTTGAGGAGCAGCACAAATATGAAACCTGACATACATCATTTAGAAATGTAAATATTTGTACAGCTATATATTAAAGATTTTTCACGGTTTATTGCATATTTATCATGACATTGTGCTGTTTACTGTGCATCAGCATTGTGTTGCAGGTCACTGACTCATCAATGTTAATTAGAAATCTAATCAGTGTCTGAAATCGGTTTCAACTCAAGCCCAAAAACACAGGATCTATATCAAATCCATATCTGTATCAAAACGCAACCCTATGTTACATTCCACAGTCAACCCTTACCTTAAGCAGCATGATGTCATTGTCAAATGTCCAGTGTTGATACTGGTAGTGCTTGATGACCAAGGCGACATTGAACCTCTGCTCAGTACCCTCGTCTTTATTGATGTCATGCTCACCCAAGACCACTTTGATCATGTGACTTCTAGGAGGGCACAGTAGAAGGCAAAAGACCCTTATGGTGGTGGTTTCAGAGTCTCATATTTGTTCCAGATCATTCTAATACACAGCTCTGAGATTCGTATGCAAGGTGCAGTGTGTGCGTCTATGGTCGTTAAATAAATCTGTCCCAGGTGTAAAACTGCAGTGACTTACGGTCTCCAGCAGTGGGCAGCAGACACCACCCACTGCTTGTGGACGAGGGTGCCTCCACAGAAGTGGTTGTTCATGAAGAGGATGGAGGCCTGATACTTGATGGAGAAGGGTGGTACCTCTGCACCCCCGATGATTCTCGTCCCGTACACACCTAAGAGCCGAGGAGGAGAGGTTCTGTTTTATAACATGAGAAAAGCTCGTAGCTGTTAGTTTTTACTTGGGTGGAGTTACATGAAGTCAGCCCTGTGTGACTGAAGGTTTAATTAAAGGTTAAGAAGACAGTACATACTGTAAATATATTCTCAGATGGCTCACCTGTTAGGTTTACAACAAGCAGAAGGAGAAGTGAGAGGTGACAAGATAGAGCCAGCTTCATCTTAGTGGCTACCAAAAAATAAATTAAAAGAAAGAATAGAGATGAGAGCTGGTTAAAAAGAAACAGTTCATCGCAATCTAGATCCTACTGCACTATTTATGTACGTTCTTATATTTAAAGAATAATATGATCACTTTGTTTAAAGATCCTGTATTGTTAACCACAATAACCAAAAGGTCGTGAACGAGAATAAATGTTTTCACTTCTGCACTTCTGAGGGTTTTCTTCAGCAGGATCTGGGCAGGAAAAATCAGTGCTTTCTGTTCAAGTCTTACCGAACACCAAATGTCAAGATGTTATTCTTGAACACACCTTTGAACTTCTATATCATCTGTTCCCAGTTGGTTTATATTTTATAATTACAGTACACGGTCAGGAATCAAGTAAGCAGGAGGACACTTCCTATTCACTGCATTGCTTCTTCACAGTCACTCAAATGAGCAGAGGTTATTTTTTTTCTATCTAGTTTCAAGTTTCAACTGATTCATTTGAACTGACTAAACATGGTACAGCTAATGAATACAATAGACAATCAAACTGAATTAAATTCGATACAAAGCTGTCTCACCTTATCAAGAGTCAAGTAAGAAAACAGTCCAAGCATCCACACGGCGGCACGCACAATCTCACACGCTCCTCTCACACCGCAACATACAGCAAAGCTTGAGAACTCTCAGGCCTCTTTTATAACCACGCACCTCACGCTCATTGTTCCATTCCATTATCCGCCATATATCTAAACACATACAGAGAGACAAGAGTGTGACCTAGTACATGATTTTTTTCCCCCCTTCTCTTTCATTACATCTCTCTTTCTAAGGGCTTTGTTCTCAGCAATTCAGCCTATTGGCCAGAAAGTGGACACAAAGTGATGCTTGAAACCCAACCAGCCACCGAAATGACACAATGTACTCGCCAGACATGTGTATCCAATGATGTAAGAGAGAGCATGACAAAATTATGTCTGGGTATGATATTTGTGCCCCATACTGTATACTCTCAACCTGAGACGTAGCATGACATGACACAATTTATTCAGAAGGAAATATTTTCTCAGGAACCCTGTCTACTGTAATTGGACCGAGTTACAGTGACTGAACATGTCTTTTGTGCTTCTATCTTCCCTAAAGTCGAGTCAGGGTCAACATAAAACAATCAAAACCAACTCAGTGCTGCAGCTTGGCCTGTGTTCACGCTGATCAGTCTGGTCTAGCAGGAATACACTGTCTTGTCTTGTCTGCAGTCACCTTCCTCTCCTCTCAGATTTTTCCATCTCCCCAGGTGTCACTCTCAATTAGTTTCCCACCATTTGTTTTATTTTCTTAGTTCCCATCCACAGGGGCATTTGGTCCGTAACTCATAGCCTCCATACAGTCTACAATCCCCAGCTGCTAAGGTGGAAGGTGATAGCGTGCCCCGCTCTCTCTTGCAGGTGCAAAGCTGAGATGACAAACAGGACACCTTTGTGTTTGTGTGTGTGTGTGTGTGTGTGTGTGTGTGTGTGTGTGTGTGTGTGATATAGACAGTGAGGCAGATGCCTTGTACAGAACCGCATGTGCAGTATAGACGTAGAGTATAGTATTTAGTATTGTATAGAGTATTGAGTTTTAGAGGAGCACGTGGTGCTGAAATGTACACAGACACTTGTTTGCCGCATCCAGACATGGCGTTGTGGTTTCATTAACAAAACAGTAATAAATTGTAGTTGCATGTTGAAGTAACAGCCGGACAAGGCAACATCTTAAATTTGTGAAAGTTTGAGCTCAACAAACATGTCTGACATGGTACTATAAAAGTCAATATTGCAAAGCAATAGATTTAGGATTCATATCCTTTGTCCACAATGGCTGAATACATGTTATAATTAAGGATATACCTCTGTATGAATGGCAGTTCTCTGATGGTTGACAAATGCTTTGTCATATGATCCAACCCTTACAGGATTCCAAAACTACATTTAACAAAATAGAGATTTTGGGAAATACACATATTCACTTTTTTGCTGAAAGTTAGAGAAGAAGGTTGCTACTACTCTCACATCTGTCTGTTAAGTAGGTATAGCTTTTGAAACGTTAGTTTAGCTTAGCATAAAGAGGCAAGCAGAAGCTACCTGGTTCTGTTGTAAGGTGCAGAATAGTACAAAAGCACAAAAGCAAAAGATGACTAATCGACACATTTGATCTTGTTTGTTTAATTTACACAAAAACTTGGTTTTGTGGTGCAGCAATTTCAAGGGCAGGACCAGTGATTTCCTGGAAATATCATGAGATTTGTATAGATTTTCTCAACTAACTCTTGTCAAGAAAGAAACAAATGTGTTCCCTAAAGAATGTAACAGTAATAAAGTTAGTAATTAAGAGTAGCCCCTTTCTAAATCAGACATCACAAAGTGCCTCGCAATAAAAGATAAAAACCAAGACATAAAGCAGAGACACGATATAAAACCAAAGGATAAAATAGTGATATAAGTAAATCAATTTACACAAAAGCAGGTCAAATCAGGTGCATCTTATAGATGGTTTGGATAATCTAGAGACTTTGCTTTTCATAGGGGCCGCATAAAGTAAAGTCGTGTTTCATTGCTATAAAATTCAATTGTGTTACCAAATCTATCTGGGTGGCTAGATGCCGCGGCGGGTAAGTGAGAAAATATGTTTTTCTGTAACTTGAATAAACCCTTTAGAAACGTAAATATATTGTAAAGACTAAATTCAGGTCAAATATAATATTTCCAAAATGTTTGCATGAGTCATGTTTGCTTTGTCTCCATCAATGAAAAAACAACAACCTGACGTTTGAAGGTGATTGCCTGTGAAGTCGGCAGGTGTTGGTCCAGGAAACACCTGACAGTGGGAGGCCACACAAAGCCGTCTCTCCCATTCTACTGTGTGGAGCATCAATTATTCAGCTCGCTCTAAATGTGGGACAAGAGGAGGTCAGGCAAGATTCTCCTCCCATGCTGTGGATGATGCTGACTTGCCAGAAGGCTGATGATGATGATGATGATGATGATAATGATGATAATGAGTTATTGTCATTGCAGACATGATGATTCATTCTCATGGAGAGAAACACTTGTGCGTCGAGTCTGCGTAGAATACCTCTGTGTTGTCTTGACTCAGACGTGGATCTACCCACAGCTACAAAACAAAGCCATGCACACACACACACACACACACACACACACACACACAGTGGGCTACTGAGACATTTCAGCACGGATAAGCCTGGACGATGACACAAACGGAGCATGCTGATACAGTATGGATGAACCCGCTCGGCACAGTACCCTGTGTTACCATGGCAACAACCCAAGGCCTTTCGACAAGTCGGAAGGGTTGGGAGAAAGAGTTGCGATAGCGCTGGGATGGCAGTAGGAGATAGAGGGGGTGGGAGTGGTGCTGGGCAGTGTTTCAAGGTCAACTTTGTTGCTCTCTTTCCTTCTCAATCAATGCTGCAGTGTTGGACCCTGGTGCTGCACGTCATGGTGAAGGATGAAATGAAAAACTTGAGGATAGAGGGTGATGTGACTGACTCCTACTGTTTCCAGAAAGGAGTGGATGCCCAGTGTGTTGGGCCGGCAGACAAGAGCAGAGGACACTGGTTTCCTGGTTGCATCGGTTCAGCTGCTGTAAGGATAACCACCTAGAGCCTATGATGAACCTGCTCATGTGTTCATGTTGTGTGCTACTGGACCTCATGACAGTCCACAGTGAGTACATGTTTTTTTTTCAGTTTTGCAAACAAAATGTGTGAGGATTTGTTTTAAATGTTGTATTCTCTTGCAGTTTAATGGTCTTTTCATTCAATTAATGTGAAAGAGGCGGCCAGTTTAACGGGTTTAACCCATTTGTAAAGGAATACTTATGATGTGAATATGAAATATGCACATTCGCTTCTTTTGCAGAGAGTTGGATGAGAAGATAGATACCTCATGTTTCATTGTCTGTGCGGTAAATATGAAGCTAAAGCCTGCAGCCAGTAAGATTAGCTTAGCATAAAGACAGGAAACAGGGGGAAACAGCTAGCCTCACCTGGCTTCAGATTCTATCACATTCATATACCGTAGGCACAGCTACATAGCACATAACCCTCCGTGAAATGGTGAATTCTTGTTTTTACACTTCAGTGTTTGTACGGATTAAACAAACGGGATGGTGGCAAGAAAGCAAAAAAGCTTATAATGTTGAACTATTAATTTAAATTGCTTTCCTCGACTTTATAGCGTCAGCCGTTTGGGATTTCTCCTCAACAGTGTTCACCAAAAATGGATATTTATGTCCGCCTATGATTACAGTAACCGTGTAGAAGTTTATATTTCCAGGAGATAGTCTTTACTGCTCCAATGTACAGTAGTTGAGCTGTTGCACAAGGCAAGAAGGGAGAGCCCCCACTCTAATGTTTCAGAGCTCAGAGTGAGGTGGTGACACTAGAAGGTCAGGTTATATTGGATTACCTTTATTACACAGTGGCCTCCCAGGTGACAGAAAACCAATAATTGTGAGGCTGGGCCAATGGGCTTGAAGGGGGGGATTAGTAGGGCCTCTCTCTTTATGCTTGTTCTCTCATGTTTCATAAGATGGACTTTTTAAGCATGACTGAAATCCATACCAGGTGAGTTGTTACTACATGTGCAGGATGTATACAGGATGTAACAATAGTCAGTCTCCACCAGAACTGAAGAGGCTTGCGGATGAGAGGCTGAAAACGGCTTTGAGAATCTACATCAATGTCAAACAACTCTAAATCCATCTGCCGTCGTGTAAATGTTTTTGTTTCCGTACAGGTTACGTGTTCATGCAGGGCCGTATAGTCGGTGGTCACACGGCTGCACCAAACTCCATCAAATACATTGTGTCACTGCAAAGCACCAGGGGCCAACACTTCTGCGGTGGATCACTGGTTCACAGGTACTGGGTGGTGACAGCAGCGCACTGCAACATCGGGTAAGAATGACATTTTGGAACAGACACTTGTTTTCCCCGGATGACAAATCCCAATGAATTGCGATACCTAATACCTATTATTGCTCATCAGCAAATCCTACTAGTTTTTACGACACGTTGATCGACCACCTCTGAAGACACACCCTTCCTAAGGTGTTCGACCATCCAACACGCAGTTCTGATGAAGCACACTGGCATCTTACATTAGCATTGTCATACTGACATTAGCTTTTAGCTTATAGCACTACTGTGCCTTATTACACTCTCAAGGAGCCACTGGTTGTAAACTATTAGTCATATACAACCTTTCATTTTATTAACCATAAACTAGTTAGTTGAAAGAAGGATCTACAAGCAACAACCAAGGCTGTTTCTCTGCCTCCTGTATAGATTGTTTTCAAATCCCCTCATAAATCTAAAATGCGACCTGACAGTTTTGCTTGAACTTTACCTAAGGTAAAGATGAAGCTGTATCTGAAACACTTGCGCAGGCAGAGAAGTTCTTCTAGCATTCTCTCAGTGGACTCTGCAGAAGTCACTGTGTGGAAGCTTACTTGGCATGATTATCTTTTGTAAGCAGATGGTCCTAAAAGCAAACATCCATTCTGCTACAGGGTATAGGTAACGTCGAAACGATGCTGCTTGGTCATGACGCATAGTAAACCTGTACGCAGGCCACTGGGACGTCAAACAACACTCAGATGCGGTTGAGTCAACTGACCTTGGCACATCATCAGTGTGTGTGTGTGTGTGTTAAGTGAGATATTGTCTGGATCCAGGAAATTGGCTGTATTTCTGTTATACTTTCCCGGGCCCTGCCTGCACACAGTAAGCCATTGTATGCTGGCAGACAAACACTTCTGGCTTCGTGTGTCTTTGTGACTTTGTGTCCTGGTCAAGAACTCTCATCTATTCCATTTCACTTTTCTGCCTGATATAATACTCAATTCAATGACTAATAAATCACAATCATGATTATCAGTGATGATCAAATGTCAAGGCTGTGATCTACTTGGTGTTGTATTAGTTGATACATGTGATGTAAAATGGAAATGCCCTGTCTTTTAGGGCAGAGAACATGATGATAGTGGCGGGCGATTACATCGTAAATAGCTTTGAGGGTACTGAGCAGTACGCTAAACCCCACAGGCTGGTCACCCACCCTCTCTACAACCGGAGCACCAACAATGCTGACATCATGCTCATTAAGGTACTGCAGACACAGTGCAGACATTTAACCACACAGCAATTGTTATCAAATTTTACAAATCTAGAGTATATAATATTGTATATTTTGATGATGTTTGAGAGGATAGTTATATTTTTTTCCTTCTTCACACGCTATCTCAAAAACTCTCTCCTGATTTTCGGTCCAGTTGCGGGCCCCCATGGTGCTGAACAAATTTGTGTCGCTGGCGCCTCTCCCCAGGCAGGGGACAGGAGTGGTCGAAGGCTTGGTGTGTCGGGTGTCCGGGTGGGGCTACAACAATCTGGGTGGAGGCCAGGCCCCCTACACCCTGAGGACAGTCACAGTGCCCATTGTTTCAACTGCAAGGTGTAACAACAGCGAGTCCTTTAACGGAAACATCACGGCAAACATGATCTGTGCAGGCTACAGGACCGGGGGAAAAGATGCATGTAAGGTACAGGGGACAAATACCTTCCTTCACTGGTAATGATTTTAAACAGTTTCAGCTATCAGGTAAATGGGTGTTGCACATCAATGGCTGCCTAATCTGCCCCATTGTAAAAACGTGATGATTTGATCTTTGAAAAGCCATTAAATCCATTTTTGAAATATAAATTCTCCAAGGTACTGGCCCTAGTTCCCAGTGTATATCAAATAGCACAGGGTCATCCTCTTTTCATCAGCTCACATCGCAGCGAAACAATAATTCGGTTTTGGGAAGCTTGTCCCCACGACAGTATATGAGGATATTCCGTTCATCATGTCAGTGTTGGTTCAGCTACAAGTTTTTATTAAGCAGACATTGTGGCCCACCCTCAGGAAGTGTATTAGTTATGATAGTTACAGAAAAGACACAACAACAACTCTGAAAAAGCACCAGGACTGAAAACCTTGCTGTAATTTTGAAGAACAGTCATTTGTAGACACAGACAACAGCTCTGATTTGTTTTTTGGTATCATGAAAGAATTTCAGTCCCAACCTTTGATGTAAGAAGGAAATTACATGAAATGCAATGTGTGATATACCAGCCCCAGACAAAGAATGATTAATTAAAATGTGCTATATTTAACCCTGCAGTAGGCAACTTTGTGTGTCGGCATTTCCAAGTGGCAGCAAGAGATTAGGATTTGATGACTCCAACCATCCTGAGAGTTTGTTTCTCACGTCTCTGTTGGTCTCGTAATTTCCCCTCGGCACACACAAAGTTATCACATTTGTGGAACATCTTTCACATGTGACAAACTCACATGCAGGCACATGTGATATCCATATACTGTATTTTACATTTCACATGTAAAAATATCAATGCTGCTTGTAATGGTGTGACAATGTGACAAGACATGTGACACATTCACATAAAAGCCAATGTGGAGATAGCATTTCATATATATATATAAAATTACATGTATTTTTGAACATTTCACTTGTGATAAAAATTCATATGATAAAAGCACATGTAAAGTAGTAAATGCTTCTTGAAACTCCTGACTCTTGGTATAATTTAGTGTAGCACTATCGAGGACATTAAAATGGATTTCCAGTAAATTATGAGAAAGTGAGATCATTTGTTTCTTCAAGAGATCAGTGTGACATGATAACTGATGTAGGGCATTGTCTCCTTGCAGGGAGACTCCGGCGGACCACTGGTGTGTAGGGGGGCTGTCTATGGACTGGTTTCCTGGGGCAACGGCTGCGGTGATCCTAAGTTTCCGGGAGTCTACACGTCGGTGTCCAAATTCCGTCGGTGGATAGACCAAACCATCTACGGGTCATATCTACGCTGCAACAGATACTGATATATGATAACAAAAAATATGAAAGTAGCCATTTATGCCTGAAAAGGGTCAGTACCCTCAAAATGTTTTAGCTGGCATGGACAAAAGCTGGTTCTGTGGAAAATATGAAGAGCTTCCTTTAATCCACTGCTCTGATTATTCTGATAATTTTGTTTAATACCAATATAGGCCTAATAGTGATGTGTCTTATGTTCTCCAATTATCCAGCTGTGGCTGGTCTCTGCCTGCTACAGTAGCTGAAGGATCTTCTGCAATGGGCGCATTTATAAGCCCTCTGTATATGTAATCCAGTGATGTCAAATTCATAACTTGTAATAAATAAATATTCAAATTTAAAGAATGTGTAATGTTGTGTCAGTTTAGTGTTGAACGTCTACATCAAATTCGAAGTGTGCCCTCACGTGTTCATCAATTATTTTTTCTTAATTTCTGCATCAGTGCACCTTAAAGGCCTTTTTCCTATCAGCCGCTTACTGTGAGCAGTGATGCATGCATGAAGCATCCTCTGCCAGAGCAGTTTTGGTTATTTCACACGTGAAATTTCTCTAACCTATTTGTGTTTTTCTCTGTGCTCTACTCACTGGTTTGAAGTCACAAATCCCCCAAAAAATCTGATCTTTAAGACAGACTGTACGCTCAGTTATTTGCAAGTGATCCGATCGGATTTGTGTGTCAAGACATCACCAATTCTGCAAAGGTTCCTGTGGTGACAAAATAAGCGTCAGTAATCCAGCTACACTGGTGATGCGGCTTTCCAATGCATTAGTAGTGACAGAATACAGTGTAAATATAAAGCAGGTCATTTAAAGTGAGACTATGTAACTATTGAAAGAAAAAAAGGTTCATTCATATCAATACAATACACCCTTGCTAAATTCAGTACACTCAGGGATTTTGCTGCTACATTTTTACTTAATATGGTATGACCAGTAGCTTAAGGTGGCTAATGTTAGCAAACTTTAGATAGCCACTGCTGAGTAACTGACATTACTGAGTCTGTTCATTGACTCCTTAATGTCACTTAGGGACTGTTCTCCACTTGTGTTAATCTTACAATCGGTTTTAGCATGATCATCCAATAATAGTCATTTGTGCAAAAGTTATATCTTGCTTAAAAAAAATGCCAGCCTGATTGTGATGTTGTTGGTTCCTTTGTTTAGCTTGAATGCCATGTTTTAGCTGAAATTGTGCTTGTTTTGTTGTTGTGGGGGTTATTGAGTTTAGGGTGTAGTTATATGTCTATTCTAGTTTATTTTTCCCCATATTGCATCTCATTTTCATCCCTTCTTTCTTTCTTTTTCTCATTGTTCTTTCCTATGTTAATTGACACCAATATTCTTAGAGGTTTCGCCTTTGTGCCTTTTTTTTGGTATGAGACTATTTTTGTGTTTAAACTCAATTTCTCCGCTCAAATGTACACAAAGCTCTAAAGCAAATTGTTAAGGTTGAACTACATAAAAAGTGACTATTTCCTTGTTCATGTGGGCACGTTTGTTTAAGATTACTATAGTGACTAATTCTAGCAACTAGCCACTCGGCTGGGTGCGGGAGAATATCATGTTTCTTATTCACTTCAATAAAGAGATTCCAGGCTGTTTACTTTTGGGTGAGGTTCCCATTTGATTGGACTTTCGGTTTACAGATGATGATATGATGACTGACTTATCTTCCTGATGTCATTCTGGTGTGTCTTACGAGGGATAAAAACCGTCACCCATGCATCATTAGCCTGTCTGTTGCACCTGTGCCCCATACAATTTAACTGCCCCACTAATCCGCACTGCTTCCCATGGTCAACTTGAGGCTCCCAATACAAACAGACATAATACACAGACATATCTAATGGCTCCTACAATTACTAATGAATTAAGATGTTCAGATGTGAAAGATGAGCCTCTGTTAAGATCATGGCTTCTGTCAGTCCAGGTGTGTCATGACTGCACCTCCTCATATGAATAGTTGATGGCATATCAAAGTAAGTTATGTTGCAGGCTCAGATATCACCTTTCATTTCATTGTCTGTGTAATGATATTTGGTTAAGTTCCCTTTGAGAAACGATAGTCTGTGTCAAGACTTAACACCTGTCCATTGCACCGTGTCCTTTATGTGTTTCATAAGATCCCTTTGTGCTTCTCTCCCTAGACAGATTCCTATAAACACTGCAGACAGCAGTGGGCGGTAAACCAAAGGAAAATGTGTTTAAACCTAAAGAGAATCCCACTGGGCTTCATTTCACAGAGCAGCCCATTTTACATAGCGCCCTCTGATCTTGTAACTTTACACCTATGTGATAACAAAACAGAAAAAAACGTTCTCAAACTGGATCCTATTAGGTTTATGGTTATTATTAATATGTCTACAATGAATCATCATCTCATCAATTAAAGAATGTACAGTTGAAGGTCATTTTAGGAGTAATGGAATTTATTTATACCTATCTTCTGTTGTAGCTATTTTTAAGAACATCCTAATAAGAAGTTTGACAAGTTATCTGGTGAGTAAAACCTGGAACATCATCAAATCAGGAACAAAGAGTTTCCTGATTCCCAGGTGTAGCATCTTCAACCTATATCCAAAAGTTCCATCTTGACATGAGCCTATAGCTCTGTAGATATTGTGGTGAAAACAGGTGAAAATAGCACAGAGTCGTTGTATTAAAACTGGAAGTGCGCCATGGAGCCAAAAGTCACATCTCAGCCTATAAAACACTGCCACCATCTGGTGAGCTCTGGTGGACATAGCCTAATGAACGCTGAAAACCTGCCAAAAAATAAATCACCAAATTTGTAAAATTGTAAAACAGGTTGGAAGATTTGGCATCTATACCACTCGTCGACTGGTGGCGCGTAAACGACGTCTAGCAAAGACCTGAATTGGTTCACGTTTTGGTGCCATCTCTGGATATAACGTCGCCATTTGTTTGATTGCATCTAGATCCCGGAGAGTGGAGCATTGGGACACCACAACTCCGACTGGAAGCTTCTCTGGGCTGCACCAGAAAACCCCCGTACAGCTCCCTCGCCAGGTCTCCCCGGGATCCGTGTTTTGCATCGCTCCTCAATTTGCATTTCTTCCTCAGATTTTCCGTGCGACGGGTTCAGCCGCTCGAAACCAGCGGGCGCTCCACGGCTCTATTGTACGTGCGCCTCCATTTCCAAAGCAATACGCGCAGACAAAAAAAAAAACAACAACTCTGGAAATTTTGAATAATGTTGCCGAAGCTCCACGAGCGAGAAAATTGAGGACATTTCCATTTGCTGTTATTTCTGTTGCGTACCTACGGAGACAGACACGTGTCTTCGGGGTAAACAGAAAGGGCTAGATCGTGTCAGCAGATAGAATTGTTTTTCTTCCTCGCTTTTGTTTGTTACAGACGAGCGGGTTCAAGCTTGGCGACGAGCTGTACATTTCAGTTTATGCGCCTTGGTGATAAAGACGCATTTGGAGATGTCGGAAGTGCTACCTTTCAACGAGGAAAAAATGAATCATTATGGAAATGAGGGCGACGAGGGACACCTTTCCTTCACCTGTCGTCTTCAAGACACAAACAACTTCTTCAGTGGATCACAGAACAAACGTCCGCCGAAACTCGGACAAATAGGCAGGAGCAAACGGGGTAATTATATAATTAAGGCGTTTTCGTTTGTATGGTGATGTGTTAAATGCGCACGTAGGTTACTAGTGGACCATAATTAAGGATGGTTCCCTGTGAAGCCAGAAAGGCAACACCTTTGCCTCGAAGTGGTCTTGAACCGAGCGTATACCAGAAACATTGGCTATTGTGTGCATGGTGCGATGTACGGGTTTTTAAATATTTTATTCGCATTACAACACAAGTTGGATGCGCAGTGCGTGCTGTTAAATGCCCTGTGAATGCTGCTCAACAGAGTTGTGCTGAATGTCCCCTCCCCAATGATTTTTGTGTTTGCATGATACATTGAGGCTCTTTGTGTTTCGGGCTTTGTGTGTCCTGCATTTCCTGATGAGACCCATGAGATGGTCCTTGAAAAGAAATTGAGGCTCACGTGTGGTGGTACATGCATGGACAGGCAGACACAGTTGCATGAACAGTAATGCACAGACACTACACGGACCAACATGGGTAAACAAGCAGACATGTAAGAATTGCATGTGTATGTGCTGATGACCCGCACAGCAAGAAGACCCGCAGACATTTAGACACGCACATTCACAAATGTGCATCGCACACACTGACGCACGCAATCGCGCTAATGCTTATCTTTTTTTTGCGTACTCTTACTCTCTCATGCATGCACACACCACTACTGCTCATGCAGCGCAGTGCTAATGGTTCTGTGCTTTAATGCCCTCCTGTCAGCCGGTGGTGAATTTTTGAGACGCCACACCAAGATGAGCCTCCCTCATTAACTCTCTCCCATGTCATCCACAGTGATTGAGGATGAGAATGGCGACGCTGAAGAGCTGAAAAATGGAACAGAGAAGACCCCGGCAGAGGCTTAGAGCGCTGGGCTCAACACCCCCCAAAAGACACTCTTGAAATTTTGTATGGCGATGTTGACCAGTTTTAATCCAAAGACACTGTATATAAGCACTTTCTCTCATGTGGCAGCAAGCAGCACTTCCACGCCCTGCTCTCCCAGTCAGTCATGGCCATCCGAGTGACATGCTCTGGCATGGGTGGGAGATGGCAGCAAAGGAGACCCCCAGGTGGCCCCCCCCCCCCCCCCCGACACACATACACACAAAAACAAACACACCCTCGATTGCAGGGTTTTGCCATAAATCCAAAAGCGGGAGAAGACAACAAGAGGGGGGGAACGAGGTGGAGGAAGGAGGCGACGCTGTCGAAATGCAGAAATCAGGGACAGGATACAGAAATAAATATAATATATAAACTAAAGCACACACTTCTCCTATATCTTATCAATCAAACCTATGGTACCATCATTTCTGCTCTTCATTGTGATCGAGGGCAACTGAATAACAGAGTTTGTAAATATGGAAAGGGTAGCCCATATTTTCTTGCACAAAGTGGGAAACTGGTTTGTTCTCTGTGTTGAAGACTTTATTTATTGATCCTTTGGAATATGTCTTTTGCAGTGACTTAAGGCCCGAGGGAGTGTTCTTTTGTATGTTGAGAAAACTTGAAATGAATGGCATTGAGTGACGTTTTTTTTTTTTCACTTAACAATTCTCGATGTTGCCCGAGTGTTTTTTGTTACCATACTTTGCAGCTAACGAGTCATTTATAGACGGTGTACCTCCCACCTGTTTGTAAGCTTCCCAGGTTTTCACCTGGATTGGTTGATACTGTAACTTGACTGTACACACCCTATTGATAAACTATTTATATTGCATTGTGCATTATTGTGTGTGTGCCAAATCTCATGAGGAATA